GCCCTGAGCCGGGAACATGGGACCAGCTCGCCCCACGGCACCACTGGAGGCGGCCGAGCCTGATGCAGCCCCCGGGGGCGATCCTTACCTAGTCATCCTTATGGATTTACCCCTGCCTGGCACAGCCCTCCCCCCAAAACCCCTGCACCCCAAAGAGGCGCAGTGGGGTGGCGACCCAGCCCCGGGCAGCGTGGCCGTCCCCGCGGTGGGAGCCCCGGCACAGGCACCCGCCTGCCCGCCGTGAGGTGATGGGTGAAAGGACAACCTCAGGATGGCCCCGTGGAAAGCGAGGGCTGCGCCTGCCCCGTGCGCAGGAGACGTCCGTGAGCCGCAGCCCCATCACGTGCGGGAGATCTCCCCGCAGAGCAGGACGCTCGGGGACTGCGAGATGGACTGGAGTCACTGACTGCTCTGATTTCTATTGATTCACTACCAAAAAAACCCTGTTTTACACCCACTCAGGCACACAGGCGCAGAGGACCAAGCGCTGCAGGAAGGGCTGCGTGCCAGCCTGCCCAGCGACACCGGGGGAGCCGGCGATACAGCCCCACTGCGCTCTGCACCGCGGCTGAGCACGACCGGCAGGACCAGGGGGACTCCTCTCCCCACCAACTGCCCCCCCAAACCCCCAAATTCCAAGAAACACCCACAAATGTGGGACTTGTGCCTTGCAGCTGTCGCAGCAAGAGGGGCAGGCGATGGCGGGGGGTTGCGGTTCTGCCACTGCAGCCTCCTGCGTGCCGGGGAGGGTGTCTGGAGGTGGCAGTGGCCAGGACCAGTGGGTCCCCGGTGCCACCCACCTGCAGGGGACAGGGATGGGCATGTCCCCAGGTCCAAAGCACTGTGGCACAGTGCCACCGGGTGCCGTGCCCCACATGCTGCTGAAGGGTGAAGCCTGCATTCCCCGGGACTTTGCAACCTCTCCCTTGTAAATACTCCCCAGATTCCTCCGGATCAGCTCGGCTTAACGCGAGTGCCGCTGCGGGCGCTGAGCGCGAGGGGCAGCCCAGGCGATAAGCGCAGGAGAGGAATAAACATGTTCTCACCCTGACAGCTATGTCTGCTGCTGCATCACAAAACTCATGTGAATATCCCCTCGCCGCCCCGGCTGTGTCCCCCATGGGGTGGGCACCCACGGGGGCGGGCAGCCGATGGGGGTCCCACTGCTCATCACCGCTGTGGGAGTGGTGCCGGTCCCCCCCCCCAGACCCAGACTTCCCTCCCACCTGCTCGCTCCACGAGACATGTAAAAAACTAGAGAAGCTGAGGAAAGCTGCGTCCAGCCCCGAAACCGGAGCTGCTTTGTGGTAATAATGACCCAGGGTCCAGCCAGCACCGGAGACCCCAGCCCGCTCCCCACAGCACACATCCTGCATCCCACCATCCCCCATCCCCCCGGGGCTGCGGTTGTGGGGAGCCCCCGGGGTCCCTCCTGCCAAAGAAGCGCTCAGACCCCCGGCAGCCCGGTGGCGCAGCGTTACCTGGCGCGAGCGTGTCCCCAGCGCCGTGTGGAGCATCATGGCTGAGGCTGGGGCGAGCCGGGAGGAGCGGCAAAGCCCCCAGAGCCCGGGCCAGCAGCCGCGGCCCCAGGGCCAGCACCCGGACCCTCCCCTCCCGGCAGCAGTGGTTGATGAGCCGCAGGTGGACGCTGCCTTTGGTTTTAATCTTTATCAGGCACTTCACCATGGCGGCACGGCCAGCGGCCGGTCTGGCCCGTGGCACAGGGCGCCTGCAGGGACTGCGGTGGGGATTGGGGACGGCTGCTCGCCCGCCGGCACGGCTGACGCAAGCGGGGCTGGTGCCGCTGGGCCCCGGGGCAGGGCTATTTTGAGCTCCCGCATTTCCCTGGGACTGAGCTGAAGTGAGAGCGAAGAAAAGCAGCTGCCGGCAGGGCAAGAGCTGCCGGGGCAGGGGTGGTGCCGGGAGCCTGTGCCAGCTCGGGTAATTTATCGTGGGAGGCTATTTAATGCTCTTGCTGCTTCTCAACGGCACGCGTGGGAGGCGGGGGAGAGGGTGCTCAGATTTACTGGGGCACCAGCGGTGACCCTGTCGGGGGGGCTGCCAGGCAGCCTGCCCACCCGAAAATCAGCACCGACATCAGCCCTGGGCTGCCTTGATGGAAAGAAACCCCTTTCCTGCTCCGAGGGACATGTCCCTTTGGGCGGGCAGCGTTTCTGCACCCTGTCCCTGCCCGCGGCGTGGGCAGCCGGAGCGGTGCGACTGTGCCGGGGCAGGGCTGGTGCTGCAGGGCACGGTACACCCCCGCACTCCCCAGTTCGCCAAACTTATGTGCATCGCCACATGGCCCCAACGCACACCAGCAGCACCACCACACACACCGTCGCCGGCAGTCAGACACTGGTGTCACCAGCGGGTACCCCCGCCACCGCCAGCGGCACAGCCACAGCCCCCCACACCCTCCCCAGCTCTGTGGGGCACCTCCAGGGCTGGTCCCAGCGTTTTCCTCTCTGCCACCCCTCCTTCCCAGCTGCATCCCACCCTGCACAGCCCTGACCCTCGGGCTGCCCGGCCCCGGGGAGGGGTCCCGGCCTCACCGCCGCAGGCTGGCACAGCGGTCCAGCCCGGCAGCCCGGCACGCCATCGGCAGTGGCCATGGGGCGGCCAGGAGCGGCTCCCAGGTGGGTGACAAGTTCTTTTGCAGACCAGCTTGTTCCTGTACGTGGTCAGACCCCGTCGCTGCGGCTCTCAGTGACGCTCTGCGGTGCGGGGACCCCGCCGGGTGCCGGTGTGCCTCTCCGGGCAGGTTTGCTTTGCTTTCAACCCACGCTCGGAAGGGCAGAGCGAGGCACGCGCGGGACGGGGCTGCCGGGGTGACTCTGAAGTGGGACTCGCTCACCCCCTGCCTGGCTCAGAGCCACCAGGGCAGCCTGGAGCGTCTGCTGCATTTCCAGTTTAATCTAAATTAGCTTTGTTGAGAAATTCTCCCCCGCTTTGCTTCTGCACTGGAAACTTCTGTCCCACAGCCGGCCCTCTGCTTTGCCTGGGCTCAGCTAGCGATGCCAAACCGGCCCTGAGCCGCAAGAGCACCGCGTGGTGCCGCCCGGCCTTGCCGTAAGACCTCGGGGACACGTCAGGGACCTCCCCTGCCCCGGCGTCCCCACAGCAGCACCAGGGGCTGCAAAAATCAGCTGGATGTGTGCGTCTGCGTCTTGTGTACGCGCGCGCGTGTGTGTGTGTGTGCGCACACGTGTGTGTGTCCCCGGCGCTGGGGCTGCCGCGGCTGCCGAGCCCCGTCGGTGGCAGGGAGCGCGGCCCCGGCCCCTACCTTCCATGATGGAGATGTGCACGGCTCTCCTCCGGGTGCGCGGCACGCTGCTCAGGCGGGGGCCGTGGGTGATGGAGGGGCAGCTCCGGCTCGGCACCAGCCCTGCCCTGGGGACGAGAACGGGGATGGGGTCAGAGCCCCCGTCGGTGCCAGAGCCCCGGGTGCGCGGCAGCTCTCCCGTGCCGCTGCGGCCGGGCTCTTACCGGTGAATCTCGGGGGGCTCCCTCTTGATCTTGGCGCTGGACTCCATCACCTCCTTTGCCACGCGGCCGCTGCAGGCAGGTGAAGAACAGCAACCGTGAGGATGTGACCACCGTGCTGGCGAGCCCCACGGCACACCGTGCCCCGGCACGGCACGGCCCCCTCCCCACGCACAGGGGCCAGTGGGGGGTTCTCCCCACGGCTCCAGGGGAAAGCAGACGCATTTGCTGGAAGTAAGGGTGATGGGAAGAGCAGGGAAAGCTGAGCTGACACCTCCGCCACCACGTTTTGCTGCGTCTCCTGGCATGCGGTGCTGGGCTCTGTGGGGTCACCTCCCCTCCGGGGGGGACGCACACCATGGGCCCTCCCACGCAGCAAGGAGGGCACCGGCACTGTGCACCTCCCGCTGGGGACGCGCCGGGGTCTCTCGTCCCACACAGATACGAGGTCCCATGTCCAGGCTCTCACTCCAGGGCCAGGCAGGAGGAACACCCCCAGGAATTTAGGAACTGCAGTGCTTCGTTTCACTCCTCATTCTCAAAAAACAAACCCCAAAGCCCCCCTGCCCCGTCCGCTCCCCTCCTCCACTCCTGTCCCTCCAAACCCATGCTGTTCTGGGGCTGAGGAGAGGTTTGCCAGCTGTGAAACACAGAACAAAGTGGTGATGGCTTCGCTGCGGTGGCAGTGCTGCAGTGGGAAGACCTCTGGTGACAGGAGGACCCTTAGCAAGTCCTCAGACCACTGCAGCCCTGGACTGCTCCCCAAAGCGCCTCCAAAGGAGCATCCGAAAATATATCCAGCAACTGCTACTTACTGTCATTATTTACCTGTATCGGAACCGGCTTCCCTTGAAGAACAAGTTGCTGCTGGACACCGTCCGGACCTGGCTCGACTTCTCCAACCTGCAACAGCACCAAGAGCTGTGTGAGCATCCTGCGCCGCTGGCCAGGCGCTGAGCACCCGGGCAGGGAACGCCCCCCGGCACTGCTTCATGGCAAAGCCTTCGCCCAGTTCTGTTTCCAGTGTACCGTGCCGGTGGCGAGGACCGCTTGGTCTGCCGACGCTGCTACAGCATCCCCCCCGACAGACTGACCTCCAGCACGGTGAGAGGGGAGCCCAGCGCCGCTGGCAAACGGCAGCACGGCCCCATCGCAAGAGCAAAGCCCTGGAGAGGCGAAACACCACCAGGAATAAAACATGCCACCAGCAACGGTTTGGTGGCATCAGCTGGGGGGACACGACCACCTGGACCACCACGGCATCACCTCGCAGCCC